AAATCTCCTGGAAATAAGATTCCACAGGCCATCCACATGGTGGAACATTTGTTTTTCCTGTGTAATAGTAATTCAAAACAGGTAATGATTTTGTTCAAATTATTTTCGCTTCCTGCCTTGAATTCTGCAATTGTCTCGATCTTACTAAAATTTGCTCTGATTCAGGGTCTCCCTAATGCCTTTGATGTGAATTCAAAATAGAAAAATCTCATGAGTTGCCTTGCCATCCATCCCCTTTCAGAGATGGATGACATCTTGTTCTCTTTTTCCCTATGTTTTCTTTCTACAGGTTATTCCCTTAGTCACTGGGGAGAAAGGAGATGCATTTTATCAAAGTTAATTGGTACTTTCTCCGTACTAAGAGCTGAAACAGCGCCAGCATCTAAGAATGCTGTCCTAACTTCCAAGCAGATAGACTATTACTAAGGTTGTTGTACAGAGCAGATAGAGAACGCTAAAATAGAGAGATCTAAAGGAAGAATATGGAAATGAATCAGTTTTAAGAGGGGTAAGAACGCTTGTACCTTCTCTACTAAGTCTCAGTCAAAGTTCTAAAAATCCACATTCCTTTCATACTGCTTTAGAACAATTTGTTATTTGATCATAGTTACACTGTTTTTACCCTACAATCAGCCAAGGGCAGCAGTTGTCCACCGAACATGTAAAAGAAAGATTGATAGCAGGGCTATTGTTTGTTACTGTGTGGGAGACTAATATAACAACCGGCATTGAAACAATGTCAGTAATTCTGAGGAAAGTAAGGTCTGCGCTTTCTGGGAATGGTCTGATCTGGCTCAGTCCTGACGGGCCTCTCATGCTACGTAAGTTTCCATTTGTGGGGTTTCTGGGGGTTCTTCCCACGCTGTGTGCAGGGAGGGCTCAACTAAAAATGGATTTCAGGAGATTTATGGAAATGCTGGAATGTCCAAGGAAGCACTGCTTTTCCCCGGTACGTCTAATTCTCAAACAGACTAATATCTCCCACAGAGCAGGATCTGTCTGCTTTCATAAATTTTGACATTGGGAAGAAGTAGTATATCATATTCTCTGACCTCCTGTATAGTACTGGGAATAGGCTCAATACGGAGATACCTCACTAAGATTGTTTTCACCTGTTTCCTTTGAGTTTGGTGTTAGTTATATTGTAAGAGGCTGGAACTGGTCAGATGTTGCTCGAGCTCTCACTAGATATGCACTATTTTTCTCGTGAGTTGGAAGGATAATGTAGGGTGGTCCCAACTTAGCCACATGCCTTCTTTGTCCCCATAGCAGTGATTCACTCATTTCACAAAGTACAAAAGAGATCCTGAAGCTAAACAATATCATGAACATACATCAGAATGACAAATAACTTGCAAGAAAGAGGATACTTCCATTTTATCTGTCCCTACTTTCAGAAATATTTATTGACCTTGTTCTGATTGTCATTGCTCTTCTTGTTCTTTTTCAACATACATTAAATGCAAACCATAACTTGGAAGTCTCTTTTCCCCATTAAGATAGTAATGTAATATGCTTTACGTTTCTTCTACGTAGACCTGTGCCAAAATCCAATGAAATCTTTAGGAGGACTTTCCTCCACTTATGCTTTCTAAAAAGGCCCAGAATGGGAGCAGAAGTGTCAGCTCCCTCCTGTGCTTCAGTGCTGACCTACCAGCACTGGCGTTGGTCTTTAAGGTCTGTAAAGTTACTCCCTCTGCCCTGTCTTTGGGTGACCAGAAGTCGCAAGGCTAATTTCAGTTTTCATTTACTAGGAAGAAAGGAGAAAGAGGAATAACATCTGACCTTTTTCTTCATGAAAAAACCTCTGGGAAAAGAACTCTAACTTTGAAAAAAATAAATTTGAAGAAGATTGGCACTGATTTTTCACTGGGATCCAGTAGCATTTCACAGTCCCCCTTGAGAATTATCCACAGGAGAACAGGCGTAATGGTAATGCTCTCCAAATGATCAAGGAATGTCATCCACTATGTCTGCTCAGCAGAAACAGACTAGCTTTAATTTGCTAGAGTGGATGAGCCCAGGCTATTCAACATCGTATGTCCTTGTGTTTGCTAATATGCTTAGAATCTCTTTTCTTTCTTCTTCTGTGTTATTGCCATCTAAACTGGCTAAATCACAGGCCCAGATTACATATCTTTACTTCACACTCACTTTCATTTTGATCTGTAGACATAAGCAGGTGGCAGAAAGAGGCAAAGGACAAACCAGTATTGTTCCTTGAAATCTGTAGTCACTGCCTACGCTCTCCAGCTCTATTCTGTAAGTGCAGCCATTTACTTTCTGTGTCTCCTAGGGCAAGAGACTCGAAACTTGAGGATCTGCTACCTACAACCTCATTTTCTGGGGTAACTCAGTTCATCCAAGCTTGAGAGGACACAGCAACAAATTAGTTTTGTTGTAAAAACAAAAAAACCATACAAAACCCTAAATCTATTTTCAAGCCTTTGCAGAGTGGTAACACGAAGATGCAGAGAAAACAATTACCGTTTGGAGCACAACCTAAGAAATGTTTTGCAAATCCACTGAATCTGTTAGAAATAGGAGTATTCAGAGTCAAGGAGAATTGCTACTAAAAGTATATATCACTGTCAGGAATAGTTAAGTCTCTATGTCAGAATCCAGCAAATGAAGTACTTTTTAGGGAAAAACATATCTTCATTACATGTATGGACTGCATTTAGCAAATCCCAGAAGGTGCAGCTGTAGAATAAGGGTTAAATTAATCTATTTACTTTGGGAATTCTAGCAGTAGGCACTACTTTTCTTGTATCTTGGGAATTTGAGTACTATCTGTCTTGAATGTGTGAAATCTCAAGACTTACTAAGTTTATGCAATCAATTGGATGCTAGGTAAATGTACCCTCTCTTGTAACTTGGTCTGGATACTCAGAGGTGTAGTGTAAGTTCTGTATCTCTTCGGAGACCCACTGCAAGCTTTGGTTGTAATCAGATGGTGATGGAGTTCTTTCTAGTGTAAGACTCTCTATCCCTTGGGAAACTTCCTAGGTTTGAAAGCAGATGGAGGGGAAAAATCTATATGTATATATATTATGTATATTTTTCTTCTAAGTGTTTGAAAAATCTGGGTGTGCAAGTATAAGTAGCCCCTAGGCATCTATAAAACGAGAAACTGGCATTTGCATAGCAAGTCCCATTATATGTTACTGACCTTGGTAATATTACAGGAGTCATTTTCACACACAGCATTTTTAATGGAGTATCTATAATGCATTAGTCACTGATGCTTTTGCCTTGCATCAGCCGTTCAGATCCCTATGTCCATTTTCCTTTCCACTGTACTTGAGTTACAGTCGAATTATAAGGAAAAGTTCTGCTCTTCATTACTGTGTTGTTTCATCTCTGAACCTTTTGCAATCCTCTTTCGTTTCAGAGAAGTCCTGTGTCACTGTAAGGTCATTCATACAACACACATCACTGCAGATCCTAAGAAGTGGAGGGGAATAAGTGCCCTTATGTTGCATGGAAAAGCATCTTAGTATAACAATTCTTCAATCTTTTTGTACGTGCAGGGTGTTGAGATTGATTATCTTTTACTTTGACGTGACAGTGCAGCACATGCCCCTGTTCATCTCTCTAGAGAGTGGGTTAACATTGGCAGTAGCCTGGGTGAGTTTACTAAATACAGGAGGTAGCAGTAATTATATAGCTTTAAGAGATCTACTTCTAATCTAATTCAAAAACTTGTTAGTTTATATGGATGACTCATTGGCAGAGGTTGCTGTTGTTGCAGAAGGGCTCGTGTACATTGAGCATGGCTGGTTACATGGCTGGTTTTGGCTGAACTTGATAAAATTATGCTATCTATATCTTTAAAATTTGCATTTAAAGAGAAATGAAGGGAGTTTATAATTTTGAGGAGCATCACGATTCGGTGTGTCTGCATGACTTGCTTGCTTTAGTGAAGGAGCGGAGATATGCCTTCCTTTGCTTTAGCATCTGCTAACGAGAACAGTACATAATCTAGTGCTCGTCTTACAGGAAAAGGTGTTCAGGAGGCACAGTTCTGTTCCTGAGTCTGTCACAAATTCTGGCAGATTTCTTGCATATGAGATATGGCTTCATTAGGGAGACAAAATAAAGTAAGATCAAGACCCGGGAAATGGATGGGCACTTTTGAAAATTTTGGTCTGAACATGTTAATTTCAGCACTTTTAAATTGGGGGATTAGAAGTATTTCACAGGATTCCTGGAGGGCTCTGTGAGTGTTTGCGAAGTGTTTTAGAGATATTAGCATGGCAAATTGCATTGCAGTGCAAAGAACAGAATCTTTACTTGCGACCACACCTCTGGAGCATTCATGCATTTTGTGACGGTCCCATATGACAGCAGTTTGTTAGGAGACTGTCATAGTTCTGATTTCCCCAGCTGTTTCTTTAACTTCTCCCCCTGGAAATTTTATCTGGATGAAAAAAAGAGGAATTTGTTTATTTGTCCCAGATGCCTCCAGAATGTGCCAGAGCTGGTGTTTACGTGCTCTTTGTTGGCATATGCACTGCATGGGGTTTGGGCCCAGAGCACTATTTACAGGATAGTGTATCGTCAGGCTCAGGAATATATGAAGGGCTAGACTATGCAGTGGAGTTCATGGCTCCGTCCACCTTATCATAAAAACACGATTACAATAACTTCTGCCTGGAAATTTTACAGATTATTGTGAGTTCATCAAGCATAGTTAGTGAGTCAGAAATCTTTTAGAAAAAGAAAAAAGTTATGTTTTATTAACCAATACCGGAGAGGAAACTGAGCTTCTTCCCTTTGTTTACCAATAGCATGTAATTTTAATAAGTTGCCTGCCCTTGTCACAGGCTAGCATCAAACCTTGTTTGACGTACTGTGACTCCCCATGGCACTTGGAGGTTGAATGTAGTACATACAGCATGTAACTAATGAGATGGTTTTCTGTTCATCCTTTCAGTTAATTCTGTGTGTTCTTTTTTCCTCCCCCCTTTGTGCTGCACGGCTGATTACCACCCTAGGACCCTGCAATGGGACACAGACCCCTCAGTGCTGCAGCTCCAGTCTGACTCTGAACTTGGGTATATGTCAGCTTTTTTGTTATTCATTTACCATTTTCTTGCAAGAATTGTGTTGAAAATGCTTCCCAGTTGAGCTGTTTTTATGTGATCTTCATTTGCTTTGTTCACTCCAAAACACCTTAATTTTAGTGTCCTTTTTTTAGTATCATCAATGAGAAGCTTCAGCAAAGCCATCTTTCTTTGTGGAAAAAAACAACTATTTTAAAGAAGCTCGTGAAAAGATAAGCTGCTGTTTCTGTTGCCTGAAAAACAATACAAATAACTATTTCATTACAGATGAAATGTTATTATTGTGGCACTTTAATGTGCATGTACAGTTACACTGGTCTTGTTTGTACCTGTTGATTCAGAGTTTTCTTTCTGAATCAGTTGCAGGGTACTTCTTCCCCTCCCTTCTGTCTTTGCCATAGTTAGGTTGTTTCCATATGCAATAACAATTACCCCTTTTTCCTTAGGAGCTTTATATGTGCTTACAGTTGTGCATTTAAATATGATCATGGTCCAAGAGTTGTGTTTTTAGTTGAATTCAGGTTAGTCAAGCATGTTTTAGTTGTACTAGGGCTAAAATTAATATTTTCTAGTTTGGGATGGAGCTTCTCTCCTCAACACATCTGAAAAAGTTAGTTGCTTCAGAAAACAGAACCTAACTGGTGCGGACAGCCAACTGCACCTAGTGTGTTTATAGCTTAAAAGGTAACTGTATTAAGTGTTCCTTGCAAATGCAGTAATGCAGTGTAGTATCAGGAAACATCTGATAGCATGAACAGCTTATCTACTGTGGGCAAAACCAAATCTGTATGCTGCTGAAATTGCTCTGCCTATCAATTTACAGGCTTGCCTCTCTGAATCTCCAGGCAAATATCTCGTGCTTCTGCTAGTTCTTGGTGTTTTCCCTCTGGCAATTCCTGTGAAATTCAGCATTCTGTAGGTTGTAAGGAAAACAGTTTTCCTTTAATTATTGGTTGACAATACCTGCAGAGACAGTTAGGGGCATTAGAGCTATTCACTGGGAAAGAAGATCAAAAAGAGTGAAAATCATCCACGCAGCATGCTAAAAAGCATTTCTCCACCTCCAGAACTGTTAGGATTATTTGTAATTTCCACTTGAATGTGGTATCAAATAGATCCAGATTCTACTTCACCTGGATCATATCAAAATGGCAGAGTTTCTCAACCTATTTGAAGCCTTGTAGAGATCTTACCTGCTGTTTCCCAGAAGTTGCGATTACGAGATGAGCACTCTCAGAAACAAGGTTCCTCAAATGGCTATGCAAGGCAAGGTGGTTTATTTGACTCGTGCAAAGGTAAAACTGTGTATACGCACAAGACTTCAAACTTTTATGAGCAGTCAGTGCAAAGGCAGAAAAGAAGCATGCCAAAAAGATTGAATCCTCATGTTGCTGGGTGTACTCCTTAACAGGAATCCTGTCCCCTTTGAAAGAAAATGGTCTTGAAAACCAAGGCAAGGAAGGATCAGACTTTCTACTGGTGACATGAGAATAAATAAAAAATATACCAATACAGAGAAGTTCTGCAGTTAGCATGCAAATGATGTGTGTAGCTTAAAAATTCCCGCAGATCATCTTTCTTCGGGTTCCTACAGACAGAGGAATATATTTTTAAGGCATAAACTTTGCTCTCTTCCTACTGACATGCCATGGGCAGTTTTCAAAGAGATCCATCAAAGTTTCTGTGCTCTCTAAGCTGAATATTCAGCAAGCTGTAAATGAAGAGGTGAAAAATGTGGGTGAGAAAGCAGTAGACAGTTGAGTGCTGCCTGAAAAAGAATTAGGAACTGTGGCATTACAGTTCATATTAGTAGAGTCCAGGTACTGAAAGGATGGTCCTGCTGTCCCTAAGTGCTTGGGACCAAGGGCTAGGCCAGCTTTTAGTTATACAAGAACCGTTATAGATTGATTAATGGGGACAAAAAGAACTAAGTGGCAACTTACCCTCAGATGAAGAAAGACCTCCCAGGATTCGCCAGTAATTACTAGACATTTGTGCAGCCCTCAGCGACTCCTAAATTAGATATTTTTTTGGTGAAGAATTCAACACATTCTCTCAACAAAGTGCTCTGGTCTGTAACTCATTTCTTGGTTAACAGTGCGCAAAGAAGTTAAGCCAAGTAGCAGTTAAATCCAACTCTCCGTTAGGGTCCATGTTCTCCATCATCCTCAATCATCTCTATCTCAAGGAGATAACGGAGTGACCTCGTGGGAAGCTGTAGGCATTTGGTGTATTGGATGACGTTCTGCACAGGCCGCACACAGGCCTAAATTAGGCATAGATTGGGCACAAAGTTAATTAGAGCGGAGATGCTTAATGAAGACCCCAGTCAAGGAGCTGTTTCAGTGCAAAGCTTATTTCTATCTTCAGTAGCCTGGGATAGCGGAGGACCGGTTACAGTAGGAGAGACTGGTTGACCAAGCAGGCAATGGTAGTTTGAAATCTGGTGGCGGAGGAGCGAAAGCTGCATATGATTTTGCTGGGGTGTTGTTTCTTAAAGCTTGAATTCACACTGACCCTCAGTTAAAGCAGCTACAGAAAAGTAACACGGTACTGAGACTTTTATTAGCTGTTACAGATTCTTAAAGTATCACAGGCTGCAGACATTTTTCTGCCATCATGCAGGATTTTCAGACAATTTTGCTTTTGTTCTTATCGGCAGTCACAAATTGGTGTAAGGAGGGAAAGCTTTTTAATTTTTCTTTTTTCAAGAGGGCATAGATAGACTCAAAGCTGTAATAACTGTTATTGCTGTAGTGATTTGTTACATGATATGGCTGATTCATACTGATTACCTGCTGAATCTAATTGCATTCAGCTTAATAACACTCAGCCAGAAAAATAGATTAGAAAAATTTATAGCTGATGTAGCATAAACCAGCTGAAGAGTTCAGTAGGTGTCATCCAATGATGCCAATTTCCTTTTGAGGCTCTCATTTCCTTTCAGACATCAATCTTAATTGAATACCTAAACCACTCTAAAAGTATTAGATAAAAGGCCTTTGACCTCTGTTCTTCTGACAATCTGGGAGAGAGAAAGGATGTGGATAATATATTTGAGTTTGCTACTTTTCCAAATGGCTTTCTGTTAATAGCATGGAAGTTCAGAAGCATTGCGTCCATGAATCTGTTTCCCATAAACGTATAAGCATGCTTTCTTATGTTGGTCAGACAACTGGATTTATTTACTTCAGCTATTTTTTATTTGCTTATTCTTTTCTCTCATGAAAGCAGTCAATTTTTCCAGTACAACATTTGCAAATAAACATTTGTTTTTCTTCCCTCCCTACAGACAGTCAAATAATATTCAGGAAACAATTTGATTTTTCCCCAATTGTTGAGTAAACCGTGTAGGACTAGAAGTGTTCATGATCATGTTCATCTGTCTCTCTCATAACTATTTCCCTTCCCCAGTCACGGCGTTATTTGGCTTATTGGTTTATTTCACGTGCTTTATTTAAAGTTAGGAAAGCAGTAGGAGAAGGCTATAGTTGCCCTGTTCCAGCTGTGTCCCTAGTGCTCCCCTGCAACCATTGCATTAGGACTTCAGTAACCATGAACCTACAGCAATTCCATTGCTAATGACTGCTGTGAAAGGGAGAATCTCCTCCTTTATGGAAATTATCCACCTTGCCACTTAAAGGCTCTGTCATTGCTCTCAGATGGACATCTGAAAGATGCTCATTTCCTCTCAGTCCTAATGCAGCCTACCTGTTTTATGCCCACTGTGCCCCTTCCACTATGTGCATCTCAGACTGAGGATTAACTCTCTTGAGCAGGCAGAACATTGCAGTAATACAAGTATATAGAAGACCATTATTTTGCGTAGTTAAGAGGGGCATCAGCAGGTCATTTCTCTCTCCCATTTACAGTCTCTCTCAGCTGCCTGATCTAGGTCCAGGGAGGTTCAGTAACTGTAATTTATTATGGCCAGTGGTTCCCAGGTTAATTTTCTTCAGTACAATTAGATGCTTCTCATACATACTGTATTTTTTTTCATTTTAGAAAACATTTATGTATTTTTTTCTCTATCCTGTTCATAAAAAACTATCACTTTTCTTCCTGCTGCTGCTTTACACTTACATAGCTAACCTTTTGATGTCATGTATTCAATCTTAGACGCAGACTGCACAAACTAGGTGTGTCAAAGATTACCCAGGTTGATTTCTTACCTCGGGAGGTGGTGTCCTACTCCAAGGAGACCCAGACACCTCTTGCCACACATCAGTCTGAAGGTAAGATATTTACTTTTTTTTTCCAAAAGCATTGTCATAGAAAATAAGTCTTTAAGTAAGACTTAAAGAATGCAAGAAAAATAATAGTAAATCATAATACAGCTGCTAATCACATTTTCTGCAAGCCAGGTATTGTTTATGTGATTAATAGCTGTTCTGGTGAGAGTAATTATAATAATGACTTCAAATTCAGGTGGAACCAAACTGCTGCCTTACAATGGATTGTGCTTAGATAACAGTATAATGAGAACATATTTTCAAATAAATCATTATGAATATAATTAAAATAGTGTTTTATTCAATTTTTCTTGCTTTCACAAGGAAGTTACTTGTTCCATGCTTTGTAAAGAGGCAGTAATGGAAAGTTGCCCTAGTATATTGGGTCAGTGTAATTGTGTCCCCCTTTAGTAGGTGAGTTTTAGGAGAAGAGAAGTTACAGTTTAGCCTTATGTGCTCAAAAAGGAGGCTTACATACTTTGATGTGGACAGTCCTACCTCCTCTCTCACGACAGATGTATTATCTGTACTCATGGAGCTGTTTGTTTGCTGTATGGCTTTTAAATAAATACCCTGGATACTTAGTACACTGAGCGCTTATCCATCTGTTCCTTCAACTACAGGCTTACTGGTATGCTGGAGAAACTGGTTGTAGTTATACTGAAACCAGTTAAACTGAATGCAAAACTAAACATTAGCCTGATATAATTTACATATTATTAGAAAGCAGGTAGCAGAAAAACAACTGAAGCCAGTCTTGAAAAGATCAGTACTGGAGAAAGAGCAGTAGCTGAGGCACGATTATAATTGTTACTGTTAAGGATGAAGATAATACAGACCCTCACCAGGTTCCATACGGAAGAGGAATATTCAAATAGGTTGCAAAAGGCGTAGGAGTAAATCTGCCTAAATATAAGTTACTGTCAAGGGAGATACAACAATAAACATATCCAGCTCTTTTTCTACAACTGGGTTACCACTTCTGCCTTTAAGAGACTACAAGACTCCTCTGCTCGATATTCCAATTCTACTTTCTCAGACCACAAGTTTACCTTCTAAGCCTTAGTCATCTGTTGGCTCAAATTGTGCCTTAATGCATCGTCATCCTGTTGCTTGGATGCAGCTTCTTGAGCAGTATGTCCTGATGGGTTTGCCTCTTTGGGAAAGAGGTGAAGGGAGAAGCTGTCTCAGGCGCCTCCATAGTTCAATGCAGCTAATCTCTGCTTCTCTGTCTGAGAGCTGCTGGAGCCCTGAGGAGACGAGGTTTGTTGCTGAGGCCGTGCCTTCCTGATTGAGACTAGTAGGTTCTCAACCCCAGAGCATTTTCATAGTCGTTGTTAGGTAAGATGAAGAGGATGCCCTTCCTCCCTGACACAATTCCTTTATCCAGTACAAAAACCTATGGATGCAGGGAGTAAAGGATGTGCCTCTGATGTGTTTACCTCTCTCAGGCTTGCAACTCTGGCGCTCAGTAGCTGACCTGCCTTTCTGAACAGGCCAGCCTCTGTTCTTCCAATAAGTTCTTTTTTGGACAGTAAAGCTTTTTTCCAAAGAGCTCTTCAACTGTTACAAAATCCTTTCCTTGGGTGGGCGAGAGGACAGCCTCCTACCCTTCAAGGGAAAAGAGCCAATATGCTGCTGTGGAACGTGGCAGTCAAGCACAGAGGGTAGCGTGAGTCTGTCTTGATTCCCCAACATAAAGGAAGCTCTCGTTCCTCCAGTATACGACAGGAGAAAAGTGCAAGCACAAAAGATGATGGACCTTAGACTGCTGAGGCTAAAGCTGTGATGAAAAAAATCAGAAGGAAGTAGGTATATTTGATGACTAGTTTTACAATCTTTCATATTATCTGTGTTGTCACAGACAAGGAAACCGCATCAACAACGGTTTTAGTATTTAAACAAAGTGAAAATATCACCCAATCGCCTATCTCAGATGAATGGTAGAGAAAGCTGAAATTATATTGCCTTTCTGATCTGCTGCTAAGGGATTCTCTACATATGAGTTAGATGTGAATATGGCCTTTCCATCAGAGGAGAAGAGTCAGGAAAATTGGTTATTCCATTGAAACGGTAGAGAAACTCTATAGGGGTAAATAAGCTCTGTGATTTTGATCTCCCAAGCGTATTAAAAATTACTTCTCAATTTTTTAATCATCTCCTCTGTGTGAATGCCTTCGTAGTGTGACCGTGAACATGTAACAGCCACAGAGGGGAATTATTTGGGAGAACAGTTTTGAGAAGTCTCTACACTGTTCTTGTGCATCCGTGTGATAAAATATAGCCGTATCTCAGGAGAAGGAGTTTAACTGTTACTGCGTTTATAGCTCAGTTTAGTCAATCTGAAGCCTCAGAGTTTGAGAAAAAAAAAAGAAACACATTATTTATATAGATAAGAGTCTGACTTCAGCTTTCAGAGCTTATTCTTTAGCTGCATGCCTTGGCTACTGGAAGCATCAAAATGCAGAATTTTAGGATGAGGCTGTCACAAGCTTGCTTCTAGGTTGGAAGAATACAACCAATAAACTCTACAGCTGGATAGAAAAATTTTGCCTGTAAGATTAAGTCACCAAGAGAAGAATTAGTGTTCTTTCAAAGTTCTGCAGGTTTTTGAAATGTCATTATCAGGTTTTGCGGAGTACCTTAGATAGAGTGCTGTTTTGGAGCTTGAGGGATGTGAGCCCTGTCTGTGATAATGGCTATTCTCCACTAGTCTTTATAAAACTAGTAAAGGAAAGCTTCATTATGGTTAGTACAGTGTGGTGCCAGATGCTACGAACACTGAAGTCTCAGCTAGTCAGCTGCTAATTTTAGAAGACATAATATGGCATTATTCTTCACTGCGTAAAAACAGATTAACTCCTCTTTTCAGAACAGGTAATTCTCTTTATTTCAGAGAAATAATGACATATCATTTCCTCCACCCACTGTATTATTTAGGGAGATGTGTATATGCATCATTCAGCCCTTTGATCACAAGTACCTAATTCTTTTGCTTTGTTTAGGTCACAGTAAGCTTCAGCCTTCTCTTTTCTTCTGTGTAGGATGACTTCAAAAACACCCAGATCTTGGCTCTGGAACCTGAGAAAAAAAAGTGCTCTCTACTTTTCCCCTTCTTCTTCTCTCATTGAACTTGAATTTAGGTATTCACAGTCATTGAAAGACACTTCACTTGTGCTGCCTTTTCCATTCTCAAGTCAATGAAGACCTAGACTATGCCAAGTCTTTTCTGAGAGGTCTCTGGGACATACTCCTTCACTGTGCAGAGATTCTCACACTGCTCCACAATGGCAGTCCCATGTAACCTTTAATGGTTGGACCCTCCAAAGTATCTCAACTGTTGCTTTGCTGAAGGCACATTTTAGGAGAAAGCAGCAGCACGAAAGCCATGGCCTGACCTCTTCCCAGAACGAATCCCTCACTGCCATGCAGCAGAGGAAGGATGTTTGTATGTCTGTATTCAAGCTAACTTTACAGATAGGAAAACAGGCTGTACATTCAAGCTTTGCTGGGTGGTTAGTACAGCCCCAAGCCCTCATTCTCCTTCCTCCTCTCTCATGGTCCAGGAGGTCAAACCTCAGAGAGAGAAGCAGCACGCTCTCCCTGCACTGAGAAGAGACGTATCCCTATGAGCTAGCTGCCCTCAAAAGCATGGGGGCAGCAAGAAGATGGAGGTTTGTGAGTTCTCTGGCTTTGATGTCCATTATCAGCAATGTCATTACTTGTTTGTTGTGAGGTAGGAAGTCACTTCCTGGTGGATAAAATCAGCTGTTTCACTTTTCTGGCTTGCCAAACTGTCATTGCAAGTAGGATAGTCTGAAATGCATTGCTGAAAAAGTAGGTCCCTTATACTAGGGAAGGAGGTGTGAACTTCTAGTACAGTAGAGGTCCTTTGTACTTCACCTGTTTATCATCTTTGACAAACATGTGGGGAAAACTAGCATGTTACCATACTTACTCATGAGCAGGATAACCTCTTCCCGCATCACAAATCTTTGCCCAGTTTTGGCAAAGAACACAATTCAGACCCATGCTCTATCTGCTCATCCTCAAATACTGAGGACGTTTTAGTTCCTAGAGGAAGAAGAAAAATGAGCTCTGGATTGAGTTTGGAAGTAGACCGGAACAAAGTGGCAAAACAGGTGAAACTTCAGAGGCTAATAGCTGGGCTTGGTTCTGCATCTGTCCTTGACATTGTAATTCTCTGAATTAATGTTCCTGAAAGTTATGCTTTTTGAAGTGCTGAGGGAGGGCGTTTTGCTTACAGTCTAAGGCTCTTAAGACTGAGACACATGAATTTGGGTATCCTGGTGTGATACCAAATGCAGGCGACTACTGTAGAATGAACCAAAATTCTCTCTAGGCTGCACTGACTGCATTAACTAGCTCTTCAGTGACTAGCTTAATAGCGGAGGGCTACATGTAAACAAGTACATGTAGGTTTCTCATTCTGAGGCCTGTACCTCATCTTGAGTTTTGGTAACTAAATGAGGAATTGCTTATGACTAGAACTGACAAACCCCACTGCAGCAAAAATGAATCAGGCCTCTGGAAGTTCCACATTAAAATCTATAGATAAAGTTATTTTTATTTCTGATTTCTAAGGGTTGATGTTCTCAGGTTTAAGCAGTGTGGAACTCTTAACTTTGTCTGTCCCGTAAGATAATGTGCAGCAGGTGTTAAGCACAGCAAATTCTGTGACCCACATGCCGTACCTTCCCATGTCTGACTGCTTGTGAAGGCAAGCTGCGCTTAAGAAAAGCCAGTCTCAGAACTGAGCTAGATCATGCTTGAGCTTTCCCATGCACAGTTTCTGTAGAGCTCATGGATCAGAAGCTGAGCATTAAGTTAAAGAGCTTATTTCGGCTTCCCCTTCCAGAGAATCTCAGAGCTCAGCTTCAGTCTGAAAAGTGTGATACAAGTCTGGACCTGAGAATATCTCTGAACCCCTCATTTAATGGCAAATATAGATGCACATTTGTGCATTGCCAAGCATGGAACAT